CAAGATATCCATTCCAGAATGACCTAGTTGCTTATGTCAAAGCTTTAAACCAGAGACCCAGTATATTACCGGGAATGATGCTTGATTAAGTGGCAACGCTGGTGGGTTTCAAGAAACATCCCAGAAAAAAAGAAATGTCCCAGTTCAATCCAATTCTTTTTGAAAGGATCCTTTTGGAGACAGGCAGTACTTTGTTTAAATCTTAAAATTGATTCAAGTGCCCTATCATTTTTGGAAAATTTTGCACTCATCCTTTTCCCCTATTTCAAGTTTTGCACATTTGTTGCATCACGCTGGACATTTTGGAAATTTTGTCAGTCTTTCTCATGAACCTTGAGTCTTTCAATGAAAGGATCGAATTAGCTAGTCATTACTGTGAAAATTCTTATCCGCCTTAAAAATTAATTCAATTCATCAAGTTCTGCTGGTTTCAAAAGGATCCTTTTGGTGACATGCAGCCCTTCGTTCATGCCTTAAAATCGATTCAAGTGTGCTACCATTCCTTGAAATTTGTTTGGCTTATCATTTCCCCCCTTCCAGTGTTGCACATTGGATATCTCATGCTAGACATGCAGCAAATTTATAATCAGTCTTTCTCATTACCTTTGTGTCTTTCCATAAAAAAAAAAATTTAGCTAGTCATTACTGTGAGACATTTTCTCTCCCTTCAAAAGAAAGTCAATTTATCAAGCTCTGCTGGTCTCCCTAAACTTGACCCTTGGGCGGCTACCAGGATTTATTTGCAAAACAATTTGGCCCGAAGGAGTAGAAAAAAAGGGGGAATAAAAATTATCAGAAAAACCAGAGTTGGGAAAAATCCCAAATTTTTTGAGCATTTCTGCAGACAAATTTGCAAGAACAAAAAGGAAAAAGTTACTGCTGGCAGTGCTGGGTGGCTTTTTCTTGATTCTTGTCATAGGAATACCATTGGAGGATTATCAGGACAATGAATTTCTTTTTGCAAGACTTTTTCAAACCTTGGCTTCTCAGCCACATCTGCGTTTCAAACGCAGGAGCCTGCAAAATAATCCTGGCACCGCCGCACAAAAAAAAACCCAACGCCGCCCAAGGGTTGAAATTTCGACCATACCGAAATAGTGCGTATGAATTTTTCTAAGCGGAAGATGCCAGATACCCACTTGGCTTATCATGATTTGTCAAGCCTGTTTCAGTGGAATAGTGAAGCTTCGATTCCCTATTCAGCAAAAAAAAAAAGATTTTAAAAGTTTCAGAATAAAGGAAGTGGATGGAAACGTGAATGCCGGGGGAAAAAAAAACAGGACCCATGAGAGCGGAGGCGGTAGAAGAGTCAGACAAACGGTAGACTTGTATTTATTCTCATTCCCTCTTGTGGGGCTTGAAACAGTGCTTGAGGCGAAGTCGATTGTTCCCCTCAACTGTGACCATAAATCCCCGTAGTCTTGGCTTCCTGATGGTCGACAGCGAGAAGAATGGCCTGGCAAAGCTACGACACTAGCGTCGGAAGATAATGTCGCTCTTCTGTTTTCTACGGTTTGCTCCTCGAGGCGACTATTGCGAACGCTTCTTTCAAATCAAATGCTTCTTCTTGTCCCGACGACAGCTGGTAATTCCCCTTGGTCTATGAGAATTCGGTGTATTCGCCGGAAATTGTGTCTGCGGATGATTTACTCACAATCAATGGGAAAGATTTATCGAAGGATTGCGAACTCTCACAAACGAATCATACATTTTTTTTCCTTGGAACTTGCGAAGGCCACTAACTTCACTGGAAACATTGAAAAAAAATAATTCCAGTACCAACCTTTCTCAGCTTTTGCTGGCAGCTTAATACACTCTGTCGTGATATTTTTGAAGCCTTTTTTTCAAATGGCGGAGGCTCATTAAATTTTGTTCTCTAAATATTTTGCGCTTGTGGACTGGCAAATTTCCACACAAAAAATCTGTGGACTGGAAAAGATCAATAATTTTTTTTTCAAACTCGTATAAAGTTTTTTTGAAATACTTTACATCAGGCATTTAGAAAGTTTCTGCGATTCTGAAAAAATTAGGATAAGAACCAATGAAAAAGATACAATTGAATGTCTTCAAAAAATTAGAAAGCTGGGCTTGAAGAAACGTTCCAGGAATGAAAAATTGAAATACTCTTTTCAGCAGCAGGTGCCAATTTGTATGAAGTGCTATTAGGAGAAAAGCCAACTTTTATTTTTCATCACATAATCTAATTTGCCACTGCCTTTCCAAAATTGCAGATGAAGATGACAGACTTGATTCATTGCTCCTTCTGATAAATTTATTATGCAGAAAAAAATTTCCTGCGGACTCGCAAAAAGACCTGTAGACTGGCGCTGGTTCGCAGACCACAGGTTATTTGGGAACATTGTTCTAGTACCGTATATACGTGTGCTTACTCTTTTTCCTCATTTTTGAAAATTGTGAGTGAGGTGGTCATTATTTTTTCTTGAAGTGGCAGAAAAATTGACACATAACACTGAGGTGCAAAGAACGGACTTCTGTTTATAAGCGAGCACGTTTTTTTTTCTCCAAAAATTTGCCCAACAGGAAAAAGCTCCTCGAATGCGAAAATAAAATTCACCAAAATTTATTGGCAATCGTGAGCGGAAAAATGAAGCTGCTGCTCTGATGCGATTAAAAATTCACAATCTTGTTTTTAAATCCATGACCACTGACGCGTTCAGAGGTCATCAAAGTGAGTTTATATATACGATCAGAATATCCCAAATAACAAAAAATTACGTGAATTTGCACTCAAACTTGGGCGGATTCGTTAAGGTTGATTGACATGCCCGAAAGCAGTCGTCAATGAATCAAGTGTCAGTCAACGGAATGATCTCTCCGAATGATCGAGCCCAAAGAGGATCCTCGTCAATCTCCAGCACATGCTCTTCTCGTGTCACGTGGTAATGAATGAATCTCGTGTAAGTTACACCATCTTATAGCCGAAAGTCCCAAGACTAGTTGCCTTGCATATGGAATGATGGATGAAGAAGGGTTGAGCCTCACGCCGTGAAGCAGTTTTAGCTAACGTCAGCATATTCAACGATGGCCATTCATCCTACGACGCCCCCTGAAATTTCGAGGTAAAATTATTTTTTGCTGAAAATGTGAATGTAGATGTTGATACGAAAGCGTGAATCCACGAGTACATCAATTTCTTAGAACAATTGCCAAGGAAGACAAGACGTGAGCATGCCTTTTCTTTCGGGTTTCAACGGATACGATATAGAAACACTTCATGAATGATGGGAGACTAGCTTTCTTCCACATTCTTGCCGGTTTCATACTTTATGAATCTAACTGTTGCAATTGTGAAAAAATATTCTTTTGCAGTTCAGTATATTGACAATCTTTCATACTACATTTCACCTTGAATAAATTGCGTTCTTTATTCCTAAATCGTCTTGACGCCTGCAATTTCTCCGTTAATTGTACTGACGAAAAGGCATCAGAGAAATTTCAAATAAATGAACAGAAAAACTCGCACAAATCAGTGCTAATATAGAAAGAAACCGTTTTCATGCATCAAAACATATTTTAAATCATATCTTATCCTTCTGTTAAAATTTGGAGCAATACAAATTGGAAAATTGTTCAAGATGACACGGTTTTTTCCCCTCCCGTGTATGTTTCCATGATCAGTACCATATGCATTCGAGTATGTGATATTTCAAAGTTCTTGTGGGCTCGTTAATTTGCTTCGTTTATTCTGCATATTTAAATGTCACGCTTGAAATTCTCACCAGACTGCTTAATATGTCCTTATTCAATGTTGAACATTCTGAAAAAATGTGCTTTTGCACAAGATGATGAAATATGTCGCCAAAGTTTCAAGATTTTCTTGACCTTGCGTCAATTCAATTTCTGCGCTTTACTAGGTCTGAATTTATTCGGGATATACGCGTCAGAATTTGAAAAAGCATCGAATATATGGCGAAAATCTCAGAGCTCGCATAAATTTTGCAGAATATCAAAATTTCCAGAAGAACGTTGCAAAAAATGTTTTCCGATTCCCACCGGATGAGACCAACGAGAATTCCGTGAATCATGTGATCAGTTGTAATATGAATGCTGGGCAAATTTTTCTTCTCGCCAAGAACTACAGAATTTAAAGAATGTAATCTGCAACTAAATCGTCAAGGTTTTAAACTCGCAGAAAATAAATTAAACTGTAAGATTGAAGAGTTAGTGAAACGAGACGTCAGAATCCTCCCGATCCGGAAACGAGATTGTCAAGCTCTGACATGCTCCATTCGCCGCTTGTACACGACTAAAGAGCATTTTAAACATGCACGACGACGACTGTGCTTTCTTTCTTGCCCTCCGGAAGTAAGAAAAATTTCATGAGTACACTCCTTCCCTGGGTGGTTGAGACAGGCAGCAAATTCAGGGTATACATCTAGAAACCCGCGGGTAATTGCGAGCACGCAAAATTTTCTTTTGGCTAGAACCCATTTATGCGATGCGAGCTGCTGATGTTCCGACAGACGTATTCACAACCCATTAATTGAATAAACGAAAGTCTATTATTAAATTTAAAAATTTCCAGGTTGTCTAGCAAATATTAACAGAAAATAAATAGCGGATTACTTGAATTCAACTTGAATAAAATTCGATGTTCAAAAGCAGTTTTCAATAATTGGGTTTCAGGAAGGTATTTTCAGAAGAGAATATGTTTCACTGTCATATGCGCGCCAGTGATCAAAAATTTAATTCCTGTGAATCAAAATATTCCGCGCAAATGTATTCAGAGAGAAATTGGTACAAAAAATCCCTAAAAAATTAATCTTGACCAATTAGAAATTATAAATAGAACAGAAGTGACCCCCCCCCCCTTTTTTTAGATTCCGCGCGGAATTGAATTGTAAGCACACAAATGTATCATGACATCATATACTTCGTTTCTGCAAGCAGAGTGCAACAATTAGAAATTATAAAAAGAACAGAAGTGACCCCCCCCCCCTTTTTTTAGATTCCGCGCGGAATTGAATTGTAAGCACACAAATGTATCATGACATCATATACTTCGTTTCTGCAAGCAGAGTGCAAAAAAATAATGATTTAAAACTTGATAATTTTGCCGTTGGACAAATCAACGCAGCCTCGGCTGGCGCCGTGGTAGTCATCGCCGCTCAATTCGTTTCCGAGCACAGGATCCACTGTGTTGTGTGCGAACAAGAGGAACACGGGGGATCCCTGAAAGAAGTCAGATTAATTATTAAGCGAACCCACCTTTCTGTGCCAGAGTGAGTGCCTCAACTCAATAACGGCAGCGAAGAAACTTTCTGCCAAATAAATGACAGCCTACCAACAGGGAATCTCAGACTACTGAATTTTATCCTTTATTTTTGCAAGACTAAACGTTTCTCCTTTGACGAAGAATGGTCAAGCCGTTCCTTCAGCGGTCTTAGAAGCCCCAAACCACGGAAGCTTTTCCATTAGTGTCACCTCCTAAGTAGAGGTCTCGGTAGTTAGTTTTGGGCGTCTTGGCTATCGTCAAGAATGGGCAGGCCGTTCTCTTCATCCTGGCCGTGATAATCCTGAAGTTCAAGAAAAATTTCAGTTATAACCACAATAATAAATCGAATAAATCCTGAGGCTTTGGCTTCGTCATCTTAAAAATTTGCTTAAAAATAGCATCAGTCCATGTACTTCTGCTTTTTCTACGAAACCATAATTAACTGGGTTTCACTTCAAGGTTCAGTATTATTGTATTCCTGCAGCATGAGATTAATTACACGATTTGTATTCAATCATCGAGTAGAAAAAATATTAAAACACCATAATTCAGAGTAAGTCGTTGAATAATTCTTGTCAACAGATCTTTGTTGAGTCCAGATCTTTCATGCGCTTCATTGATATTCTGATGTCGGTGATCAATCACCCGAAAATCGCTTTAATAATTTTGTAGTAGGGATATTTTTGAAAAATAAGTTTGCTGCAGAGTGGTATTTGAATATATAATCGAAAAATACGGCAAATACACTACTCGAAACAAAATGGGGCTATTGCAAAATTTTCGGTGCTGCGCATGATGATTTCAAGACCGTGAAGAACCTTCACTTGACAAATAAGTATGATTTCAGCATTGGCCCTTGAACTTGAGAATCTATGTGCGCACTTGGTAACTAGTGCAAAAATCGTAAAGAAATTCGAAGCAAGTACTAATTTAAAAAAGTGACTTCGCCCGCTCCTGATTGGCGCTGGAGCAAAAATCGCGATAACTCTTGAAAATACCGTTTTGAAAAGTAAATCTAACCTGGACAATGGCTTCACCGTCATCATTGACCCATCCAATGACGAGATCAGCACCAGCCATCGTGCAATTGGAGTTGGCTCCAGCACCAACCCAACCTCCAGTGCTACCGCTCAGGGTTGCAGTAAGAACTGATCTGATTTGCAAAGAGGAAACTGCTTCTTACCAGTTCGGCAAGGAAGTCGCCAGAATCTTCGGGGTTTGGTGCCTTCGAAAAGGTAATCACAGTGGAGGATTCATCTCCAGAGCCATCAATCAAAACAGCGTCTTGGCTATCGTCAAGAATGGGCAGGCCGTTCTCTTCATCCTGGCCGTGATAATCCTGAAGTTCAAGAAAAATTTCAGTTATAACCACAATAATGAATCGAATAAATCCTGAGGCTTTGGCTTCGTCATCTTAAAAATTTGCTTAAAAATAGCATCAGTCCATGTACTGCTGCTTTTTATACGAAACCATAATTAACTGGGTTTCACATCAAGGTTCAGTACTATTGTATTCCTGCAGCATGAGATTAATTACACGATTTGTATTCAATCATCGAGTAGAAAAAATATTTAAACAATCTAATTCAGAGTAAGTCATTGAATATTTCTTGTCAACAGATCTTTGTTGAGTCCAGATCTTTCATGCGCTTCATTGATCAATCACCCGAAAATCGCTTTAATAATTTTGTAGTAGGGATAATTTGAAAAATATGTTTGATACGTGTGCTGCAGTGTGGTATTTGAAGATACAGTATAATCGAAAAATACGGCAAATACACTAATTCAAACAAAAGGGGCTTTTGTAAAACATTTTCGGTGCTTGCGCATGATGATTTCAAGACCGTGAAGAAACTTCAATTGACAAATGAGTATAATTTCAGCATTGGAATTGAGCTTGAGAATCGATGTACACTTTTGGTAAGTAGTGGAGATATCATAAAGAAATTCATAGAAAGTACTAATTTAAAGAAGTGACTTCGCCCGCTCCTGATTGGCGCTGGAGCAAAAATCGCGATAACTCTTGAAAATAGAGTTGTGAAAATTAAATCTAACCTGAACAATGGCTTCACCGTCATCATTGACCCATCCAATGACGAGATCAGCACCAGCCATCGTGCAATTGGAGTTGGCTCCAGCACCAACCCAACCTCCAGTGCTACCGCTCAGGGTTGCAGTAAGAACTGCATTCTGTGGATAAATTCAAAATAAAAAAACACATCAAATGTACGATACAGAAAAAATAAATCCAGTATATCAGGGAAACAATAAAAATACGCCACTTATTTCATACGAAAAAAAAATAACCATCAAGACAGCTCGTATTTACAGAATTTATTCAAGGCAACGGATTCGGAATAATTTAATCTCTCACGTTCATGTACATAAAAAAATTAAGGTATCGAATGTCTTTGGAGTTTCAAGTTGGATTTCAGGGAATAAAAATACTTCAGATTAATTGTCTAGGAACTTTTTAAAACCTTTAAAAAAAAATTCGGAATCATACCCACCTCGTCCATCGAGTACTCAATACTGAGTACGTCATCGAGTTGAAGAAGTTGCCTGCTGGGGGCAGCAGAAACACAGGCCACGAGGGCGACGAAAGTTGCAACAAACTTGAACATGTTTTCAGGTTCTATTATAAAGCTAATTAATGATTCAATACAATTGTTTCGCAATGCTTCTAACGTATCTTGGAGTTTTACACTCCTTTTTATGTCCGATGCAAACCATATCAGCTATTCCCGGAAAGGACTCTTATCGCGAGCAATGACGCTATTACTTTTTCATAGAGTCGAGCGTCTGCCCTACTTTTCTTGCACTCATTGTCGTCATCAATAAACATATGCTGAAAAACCTTGATATATACTTGATGAGAATTCGAAACTGTCCGTTTGAAAATTTGAAAGCATGACAAAATTATATTTTTCAATTTTCTTTCTTCGAGGAATGTATTCAACGAAAAAAAAGCACAAAACTAAAAATTAGGTCATTGAAAGGTTAAAAACGGAATCACACTCGTGTAAGGTAGAGGGATATAACGTTATATTCATTAAATACTCACTGCGTGCATTAATTCATTACTTTTTAAAAATAATTGAATGGAACAAGCCATTTTGAAATCAATCATATCGTTTCATTCATGAAAAATAAATGCAAAATAACGCGCAGCTCGAATTCATTATCTAAACGACATACTCTCTGCTTCTCACGTGATAGACATTTATGCAGTTTCAAGTCCACAAATTAATCCAAATGGCACAGGTGAAGGTTACCGATATGAAATCCCATGTTAGATTATACCCGAAGCAATTAAGTGCCAGACGCAGCAGTGCAAAATTCAACAAATAGGAGAGCTTTTCCGCGTTATTCAACACAATAAAAGCCGAGTCATAGGGTTTCGTTGCCAACCAGAAAGGCGTCGGTAAATTTTCAGTGGATGATCGAAATTTTTCGAATTTTGGCTAGTTTTGCGCATGCAATCCAACTTATTTTACAATTAAAAAAAAAATTTTAACTCGATAACGTCATAGCTTTTGGAGGGAATAGACTGAGAAATCATGTTCGTGAAGGAGTGTATTGTATACAAGCAAAAGAGCGGGCATATTTTCCTGATTGCAAATAAAACATAGGATTCCTGGCTTACAAAAGATTCGAGGCCTCAAAATTATAAATATTTGCTGATCAAAGTTGTATTGTAATGCAAATAAGTCGATCCTGGTGAAATAACTGGAGATGATTTTTTTCTGTGGCCCGACGCGATTCATTTTTTTCTACGCGTTTTGGCAAGGTTATAATCCCTAATTCATATTAAATTCATGTTCACTTGATTATAAGACTTATCGGATACATGCGCTAAGATATTACCTCGCTAAATTCATCTCGAGACGAGCAAAAAAGATCCGGATTCACGCGTTTCACTGCATGTTCGAAAGAAACTCGAAGTTTCTTGAGGGAAAAAGCGGAATTTTGCAGTTCCCTGTTTTGTCTCCCATAAATAATTAAGGTAGGAGGAAGCTTTCTTGCATGATGTGATTCCTGAAAATGTGACGGAACTTTTGTACAGTATACGTATGTTCCAGAAAAAAAAAATATTTGACAAAAATATCAAGTCTGCCTTATATACCAGCCATATAAGTTGGTGCAATAAGCCGACCAAATAAATACTTCAGTAATTTCGAATTAGAGTCGTTTTCCAAGGGCCTTATAGCTTAGATTTTCACCTTTTTTTATAGTCTGAATGGGTTCATTTCAACCTCAAAACATTTGCTTGATGGCATACCGACGCCCAGAGAGCTTCCATCAAGGGGTGATGTTATGAGCGACATCTATACTCGTATTCTGAAGTTCTAAACTCGTGAACGATTCCTCGATTATTGTGGCTCTCGTTTCAGTTGTTACGGAAGTGAATCACATACAGTATATAATAACTTAAAAAAAGCTGCATAGCAACACTATTAAGCAATAGCCTTGAGGAAAATTATTGACGATTGATAATCCCTGCACACCACAAAAGAAAAGTTCAAATGCTTTACTGTAATTCAAAAATCAGATGTCGTACGGCAAATACAGAAGTATAATTAATGAACCACAGTGAATATCATATTTTTCTCTCATCTCTTTAAAATGATAGTGGTTCCCGCCAAGGTTATTTTACTTTGCAAGTGATGGATGATGCAATGGTCAGCTAGAAGTAAAAAAAAAGTTGCGGGTGCGATTAATTTTCTTCGCTGCGCCAATCGTCAGAATGTTCATGCTTATCGTTAAATTTCGCAGTACAGTATTTTCATCTACAGTCCAATTAAAAAGTTAAGTCAAAGCGAACATGATACTTTTAGCAGAAATGTGTAAAACGTCCGTGACACTACACGGTGTCCAATGACCTGTAGTAAGGTCCATTCTGTTATTAGATTTCCCTGCGGTGAATATACAGAGTGTTGAGTTAAAATCGGACTGCAAGAGTTTTATTCTTTTTATTCAAAAATGCTGGTATATGAAAAGCGTTTGAAAAAAAGGGGTTTTACCTCCACAGGGAGGAAGTCACCGGGATCTTCAGGATTCCGTATCTTCGAAAAGGTAATTATTGTGGATTATTCGTCGCCGGAAACATCGATCAAGGTGACGTCCAGAATGTCATCCAGCGTCGGCGATCCGTCACCTGGTCCCTCACCATGATAATCCTGAAGTCAATTGCAAATTTTAATCTCCCAAATGTTTCAGCGTTTTCGCATGCATAGGTCTTTTAATTACATCTTTGAAAAAAAATCAGAATTATAAGGGATAAAATAATCAGTCTCACCTGAACAATGGCTTCGCCATCATTGTCTTTGACCCATCCGATGACGAAGTCGCCAGCACCACAACCATCTCGAATTAACTCCAACACTAACCAAACCTCCCATACTGGCGGTAATGGTTCCAGTAATTACCCCAATATATCTATCAAAACCAGAAGCAAAATTTTCAGAAACGTTCAAGGCTGAACAAATGGTTTTGTTACACGCGCTAGCCGTCAAAACATGGAAGATATGAATTAATCATCATCACCAGTAAGGAATTTGGGATGAATCTGACTGGAATCGGCCTCAAGATTTCGATTCACATTACCCAATTTTTTTTCCAGACTACCGTGCATTTGTGAAAAGATTTGTCAATTCTGCGAGACTCTTCTTGAAGTCTCCTTTCAAGCATGAAGACAGTTGTGGAGTAATTTTTAGAAAAATTGAAATTATTTCACTTCCCAAAGAATGTTTCAAGTGTCGGGGAAAAATGAAGTTGACTGTGCAACCCATCATTTGGAGGAAACAAGGTCGTATCTCAAAAACTTGTATGATTCTATTTTATAAATTTTCGAATGCTTGCAAATATTTCACACGACGGATAATCTTCCTTGAGATGAATCAGATTTTTCAAACAAGTTCGAATATAAAAATGGACTTTACTGTACTTGAAATACTTACAAGTTTTAAAATTAAAGGCTATTTAAAATTACAATACTCACTAAGAAAAACTCCAGGATATGATGGAGTTACAGACGTACAGCATATACAACGTATTTTCTCTACAAAAATATTTATGTGAGTTTTGTCTACATGAAAATAACATTTCTGTGAGTTTTTTCTACGCAAAAATAACATTCGCTGAGGGGCGATAGAATTTTTCCTATCGCCCCTCAGCGATTTAAAGGTCTCTGACTGAGAAACTTGATTCATTTGAAGTTACTGGCAACATTTTTGAAGTCCCGATAATTTTTCGAACTCTGCAGCCCACTTAAGAATCTTTGATAAATTGAGAAGAGGAGTGAAGTGGTCGAATACGTCGTAAATCAAAGGAATAAGACTTCAAATCAAAGTTCCATGTAGAATTGTTACTAACCTCCTCGAGTGCATAATCGAGGCTGATCACGTCTTCCAGTTGAACGCATTGCTAAACAGGTGCCGCATCAACATAAGCCAAAAATGTGGCAAAAAAAAATGATGACCTGAACATTATTTCCGACTTCTAAAGCGTGGAAACATCTCTTCGTTCCCGAAAACGAGTTCCATTGTGTCTAAAAAATATAAAGCTTTTTACATCAACCCGTTCGAACTTTATCGCGGTTCCCACAGACTAATTTTCTTGCACCATGACTGACATTTTTTTTCGCACCGTCAACCCTGATTTTGATGGCTTATTGAAATTTGAAGAGCATCAGCAATGATGAAATGCTAAAGAAATTGTCCTGTTATGTCATTGGAATGTCCCACATCAACAAGTATATAAATGACTCTGCCGTGTTGGATGAAGTTGGATCGCACCTTAAAAAGTTTATTTCACACCTTAAATGCGTGAAGTAAAATTTTCTCAGGGGCGAAAATTTCACAGATTCATGCAAAGTCGAGTGAGAACATTCGTATCTGAGTGAAATCATTGTATACAGTAAACTTCCAATCCAAAAAAAAAAATTAAACGAGTTTCGACGCGAAGAAATCTGATTACGTTGGGAATTTAAAAATAGAGAAATGTCCCAAGTGTTAAAATACGAGACCATCGTTCAACTGTTCCGATTAAATGAAGAAGACACATTTGCTGTTTCACACGCGATAACAAAATTAGTACATTTACTTCCAAGTCCAAAAAATTAATACAAATGGTGTTACACATGCAAATGAGATTATCGATATAGAATTCCGTGCACCAAAAATTGCTAAGCAGACAATAACGCACGTGCCTTCACACATTTTTTAATGATTATCTGTGCTTTGTGTCTAAAATTCGAGGCTAACAATCGAAGTATAAAACATGTCTTCGATTCAAAACGGAAAAATCAGGCGGAATAACCTATAATAAGAAACCTTGATGAGATGCCAACCGCGGCATTCACACACATTATTTCTTGCCAATATAAAAGAGCTCATCGGCCTTAGTTCTGACTTCTTTGAACATGCCAATGTTGAGGCGTATTTGTTGAGCTTGCGATAAGAATCTTGCATGGTTAGAATGGAATACATATTTCTCATTTTTATGATGCGTTCCCTTTTGCATCGTTGTGTGAAAAATGCTGTGAGGCCTCTTCTGCTTCTATAGTAGGCAATTCTTGAAAAATTTTTGAGCTCAATTTTGATACAGATTTCCGTTCGACATAAAAATAAAATGAACCAAATTTTGAGTGTGATGATTCAAATTTCATAGCTGCGCTTTTGAAGATTTCCAAAATTCAAGTTTTCTTCCATTGAAACCTGTTTATTTAAGCTTTATTGAAATTAGACAGCTGACGTAGCGGAATTAATTTCATCCGTGAATATACGGTTCTTTATATCCTGTATTCATGGTCGAACACACCTATTCCACAAAAAATGAAACTATTCTGCCATATCACTTCCAAACGATGTTCCTTTACAAGGCAAGAATTTAGAAAAAAATGATATTTAGGACACGCCCGAACCTTTTCATCATTATGAATAAAGGGCAATCCTTTCGATTCCATTTCGCGGTAATAGAAAGTGACTTGGGAGTTGGGACTCAAGAACAAATGGGGTTGCATTCAATGAATACCATTATCCACTTTTTACTAAATTCCTTCACCGCCTAGACTTGACAAGTCGCCGCCTTATTGGCATGCTTCTCGCATATATTTACCTTCCCTAAACATTTCAGAAGATTTGTATGCATAATTTTCTGGGGAGCTCAGTTCGGGCGGAACCGTTCTTCCCCATTGTTTTGTTTTCGCAGCTTCAATTTGTGAAGACACACGAAGAAATTCTGAAACTGCAATGAAACAATGCATATGACTCGAAGAATTATCCAACAACTTTTCACGCTTTCTTGACAACATCCAGGAGCACCTTCAGATATTTGCGCATGAAAGGAGAAAATCTCATGCTGTGGAGGAATGGAAACGTGTTCGTAGACCAAGCATACTATACAGCTGAAAACACCCCGCAAAAGCACAAGGTTATCAATAAAATCCTCGTGCGCCAGATTTCAGCATTGCGAGAATTCTTGCTGTTTCGGGGACGAAGAGAAACACTAGGAATCTTGTTATCCATTGATTCAATGCCACTTTATACATGCAAACTAGGCTTTTAATTTCATAAAATTCAGCTGAATTTTGCATCCGCGGTTGAACCCGCATTAAAAATAATAATAAATGCGTCATGGTACTCGAAACTCGAACTCAAATTTGTCTTCACTGAAGTATAGAGCATAGAAATATAATTATTTGCGTCAGTGACTGTGTGCCTTTCCAAGCCCGAATTATGTAAAAGCTTACATATTATAATGTATGAAAAATACCGTGTATTCACTGAATTAACAATACTCATCATTGATGCTCGAAGGAAGCCTTACCGACACTTGTGTATAGCTCATATTGCGTGAAGCCCTCAAATACTGTTCAATGAAATACTGAATTGCATTAAAACAAATATTGTATTAATATGTTAAAAATCATACATTGTAAAATATACTGCATCGCATGAATTTCAGAAATTGAAAAGCCAAACAATTCAACATCAATTATCAAGTCATGAAAAACATATGGACCTTGATAATTGAAAAAAATCCAAAGTCGAGAGAAGAAAAATGTATGCAAAATTCGTTGTTCGAGCAATACAAAAATTCCTGAAAAATTCAGGTTAATCGGGGTTGAGTGCAGAGGCTCATGAATTTCGAATTTTGCCAATCCATGGGTTCCCTCTCAATCAGTAAAAATTTCGGCATGATCATCGGAATTCCACGGTGATGAGAAAAAAAAACGGGTAAGGAGAGCTCTACTGCTATTTCAGGTTCGCGTTCGTTCAAAAAGAGTCTTCGGACTACCGGCAAGAAAATGAACTTAACCATAGGTGCATTATAGTTCCTTCACTTATATGCATGTGCTTGAAATACGTTCCAGGCGACGTCAAATACCAAATTTTATCGTCCCTTTCCCTCATAGTTCACTGGTGTATATTCCTCAGGTTCCATGATGTTTTTTGCTAAAACCAGCTCAACCCGGGCTTTATCCAGGCAGGAGCAGAGACGTGGAAAACCAACAGTGCCCGCTGCTCCGCTTCGCTGGGCGGAGATTGTGGGGAATTTTCTGATGGAAGAATTGTTTCTCCAAGAGGGGAGAAGGAGTTGACTTGAAATGTGATCTGCTTGTCTCGGGACTTGCAAAAGATAAGGAAGGAAAATCCCCAGAATTGGGGTGAGCAGGACAGGACGGCTGCAAAAATCGGTGCCTTGTCAAAGACAAGACGAATTGCCCTCAAGAAAGGAAAAACTCCCTTCCTCCTAAAAAATAAAGTTAAAACTGGGAAAGTGGGGTCTGATGACTATCTCTAAAAGAGAAAAACAGGGCATGAAAACCCAGCAGCTGGTGATGGCCCTGAAGTATTTTTCCGAGTTGAGCAATTTGCCCCCAAATGTTTCTTGAAACCTGAGACATTTTCTCCAGCTCTTTGAATTTTGTGACTCCCCCAGAAAAACAGGACATCTTTTACTGCCAAAATTTTACTAGCAACATGTTGTGAATTTGGGAAAACATGAACACCTGGTTACCAGGAGAAAAGAATGCACTAAAATCAGCAAAACAATTTTCCAACCCAGCACTCACCACCACCTGGTGTTTTGAACTTTCCAAATCCCACCACCTGGGAAAACCCCGCCAAAAGGGGAGCAAAATGTGTATAAAACCCCCACAATTTTTGGAGCAAGACACAGTTGAATTCAAGACGTCAGCAAGTTATTTTGCTGTGCCAATGTTTGGAACTTTATTTTTGAGGACTTTACAAAAATCCTTTTGTGTTGGGTGTTGTGTGAAAACTAAAATTCCAATTCTGGAAAATTTTTATGCTTCTTTAAAAATCTCTGACTAATTATACGTTTGAGTGCATTTCTGCACCTTGTATTTAATTTGGAACTTGAAATTCTGCATTTGAGAAAATTTGCAAATCAGGAAAAGAATAGTTGTGATCTCTTTCAAATTAGAACTTTGTTAGAAATTAGTCCATCTCTGGAACACTGAAACTCAACCTTAAACAGTCAAATTTTGAGAGCCAGTGGACATTTTTTTGCACATGTCAAGATTTGGAATTTTGCGGACTTTACAAGAATTGGTATTATTTTTCTGAGTGTTGTGTGAACTTGAATCCAAATTCTGGAACACCCTTGTGTACTCTTCTCCTCAAATCTCTAAATTTACTCTGAGTTTGAATGCAACTCTGCATTTTTACAATTCTGTAATTTCTGAGACTCTTTACTCAAGAAAATCAGCAAACTGAAAAAGAATTACTGTGAATATTATTTTTCCACATCTGGAATTTCTTGAACCAAATCTTATCTTCTGAAAATGGTGCATTGAAGTTTTCTTGGAAGTGTGTGTGTGCCTGTATACCTGTGCTTTTTGTATTCTGTACCAAAACTTTGTGAGAAAAAGAAAAGGTCTGCACTAGTGGGGAAACATTTCCCTGGTTGGTTCGCGCACCAACCAAGTACAGTGTTTTAATTCTTCCTCTGCAAGTACTTGACAAAATTAGCATTTCAGTCAATTAAATAGATTACATACTTTATTCAAGGTGTAAGACTTGGAAATTTTGACACCTCAAAATAAAACCTTACAGAAATATCCTTTTGGTTGCCGGAACGCAAGCTAGTTTATATACAGCACCACACATTTGTTCCAATCATCATCTCCAGAAAATTGATCAGATTTCTTTTCCAAGCTTGCCGTGAAGAAGTTGACATTGAAAAAAAGAAGAAACAGAGCAAGTGATATTCAAATTTCCCCTCGATTTTCTGAAGCTGTTGTTTAGTCAGCATCTGCATAAAACCAAACATATCATTTTCTTATTGTCACTGTACTCACCCTTTAAATTACTTATGGGTTTTATTGCATAGAATATTTACTTGAGTGTCAAGGCCAAAATTAAGAAGATAAGAGGGTGAACTTTTGAATCCATTCGCACAGACAATTAAAAAGTGGAAACAAAAATTCACATTCAATACCGTATGACTAAAATTCAAGTCAAATTTGAATTCTGATGCACTTTTTTAATACAATACTCTACCGTCAATCCCCACACAACAAACTTAAGTTGTGTAAAAGACTAATCTGTTATATGAAAAGTTTGTTATGAATATTCAATTATTTAAAAAATTAGAATTTTTACTTTTTATCATTCATTTTAAACAAACAGAAGTCTGTTAGGTGGATTATGTCCATTAGGCAGGAGGAAAAACTGCCTCCAAAGGTAGTCTGTTAGGTGAATATCCTTTAGGTGGGAGTTCCATTAGGCAGGGGTTGACTCTATTTCAATTTCCAGTCTCTGTAAATTGAGTGTGTGTCTTACTTGGGAACTTTTGCTAAATTTTTAATTTATTTTAGGCTGCAAAATTTGGGTGTGTGTTTCATGTGAGGTCAAATGGTACTTGAGTAAGTAATGTAAAAAGCAAGAAGCACATACTCAAGGGTATGGTATGCAATGTTCACTCATGCAAAATATAAAAAATTTAGTCTTCTGAAACTCCTGGCACAACTTATGAAACAAACATTGAGCAAGTTCCAAATTTATCCTTCATTTTATAATGTTGAGGCATGCCATTTGACATCTAAAGGAAAATGCAGTCAAGCCTGGATGATCATTGATTGGGCATAAAAGCAAGGGCAATGTAATCAACATGTTATCCAAGGAAACAAAGAATCCCTTTCCTTTTGAATTCAGTCTTAAATCTCTTAAATTAAGTTGGAAGGTCACTTGAAAAGAAAAAGCTTTCCGCTATCTGTCCATCCTATAAGAATGATTACCCTGTCAACCATAACCCTTGTTCAACAACAAGGGTTGTAAGGTTAATGGAGGAGGATTTATGGAGTGACTTTAGTTCTGCTCTTCCTCTTGATGAGTCTACCTTGACCCTCAAATGATAAGATCATTTGCAAAGCAGAAGCTATCTTGATTTGAAGAGTAGTTTGATTGATGTTCCTCTATATTGCATGCACAATGGAAAAACAGGAACTTATGTAAGATATTTTCCTTTGCATCTTATCATCCTTCCCATATGAAGGACTGTCCATCCTTTCTTCACTCATCAAAACTTGGCTGAGCTTGATCATGGACGCATGCGAGTCGTCAAAAAAAATTGAACAGTAGACTTGAATTTTCTTGAACATTTATTGAGTGTGCTTGGAAGTACAGTAATTCAAGTTGAAGTGAGTTAATGAGGTGGAATTTGTGACACTCCATTGATTGTATTATTTGATCACGACTGCAGCAGCTTCTTTTTTCAATTCATTCTCTTTATAGTATTTCACTAACAATATCAAAGAAACAGTTTTGGTAGACCAAGGAAATAAGTCCACAAAGATACTGCAATAACTTGATCAGATTTTTCCCAAAACAATGGATTTTTCATATTAAAAGATGAACAAAATGTGCACAAAGTAAGTGTCTTTGAAACCCTTTGGGCAGAATGCATTCAAATCTCCATTCAGCTACTTTCATAATTTGTGTATCTGTACATAATCAAATGGCTAGCATTCATTGCCAAGATTCCGTAAAAGATATTATGAAAAAAATGGGGCCCGTTCCGAATTTTTACCAATTATAATGTTACATTCAGATACCGTGATCGGATGATTCACTGTTTGAATTATTATCTTACTTTAAAACTGCACAATTATGGCTTTATATATGCACAAAAACTTCATACGAGCATTGGAACAATGCATTAATAATTTTGGAAAGCATATTTGAGCTTGCGATTGATTTTTCAACCAAGTTAGAACAAGTTTAAAAGATGAAGACGGGTTGAGAAACAGGATTATTTTGAAAACTGAAACCTAAGATAATTCAATTGCTAGAATTATCCACAAAACTGCATAAAAGGCCTCAAGAAAAATGTTCCCAACCAATTATTCAAAACTATCATTCAGTGATAGTAATACCCAGTGTTTAAACTTTTTTCATTCATTTAGGAATTGATACTACATGATTTTGTGTTGCTGCAGAATTTTCCTAATCTTGCTCATATTTATTCCCCGAGGACAGAAAACCATTTTATCAACATTTGAGGAAAAAAAAAGATCAACCCTGTCAAACTTGAACACCATTGAAATTTGTATCAGATAATATCAATTTCTTTTTATAAAATTGTGATTGTGTCCGTAATACAGAAGGATGATTAGTTTGTTATAGGTGTGTTACATGCAATTAACATGTTACTTGTCATGAGGCAATTAACTATTAACACTGTGATGATACTTCAATAAATTACTTATGAAGCAGCAGCTTATGTTCGAAGGCAGGAGGTGAATACTTTTTACAAGCAAGTCTGAAAAAAGGCAAGCAAATTCAGGACAAAATTTGCTTAATGGAAAGCATATTTGAGCTTGCGATTGATTTTTCAACCAAGTTAGAACAAGTTTAAAAGATGAAGACGGGTTGAGAAACAGGATTATTTTGAAAACTGAAACCTAAGATAATTCAATTGCTAGAATTTTCCACAAAACTGCATAAAAGGCCTCAAGAAAAATTTTCCCAACCAATTATTCAAAACTATCATTCAGTGATAGTAATACCCAGTGTTTAAACTTTTTTCATTCATTTAGGAATTGATACTACATGATTTTGCGTTGCTGCAGAATTTTCCTAATCTTGCTCATATTTATTCCCCGAGGACAGAAAACCATTTTATCAACACTTGAGGAAAAAAAAAAAGATCAACCCTGTCAAACTTGAACACCATTGAAATTTGTATCAGATAATTTCAATTTCTTTTTATAAAATTGTGATTGTGTCCGTAATACAGAAGGATGATTAGTTTGTTATAGGTGTGTTACATGCAATTAACATGTTACTTGTCATGAGGCAATTAACTGAATTGTGACACTACTATGAAGTTATTTAATGAATACTTCGTCGTCGAATACAAGCTTCCGTCCTCCACTTATGAAAAATGTTCGTTCAGACTTTTTTCCGTTCGTTTAAGTCCTGTTTTAAACGAATTTTTAAGAGCCATTCTGTGGCAATCCTAATATGCCGTCGGATTTTCCTAGCCTCAATTGCTTTGAAAAGCAGTTACTCAAAAGAGGAAAAAAATCTGGTACAGTTGCTTTCTTACTGATTACATTTTTTTGCTGCTGATGGCTGAGAAAAACAAAGGTTGATGTACCTACAAGCTGCTGTGCTATTTTCCTATCTGTTGTGACACTGAAAAAAGAATATCTCGTCTGTTGAAAATGTATTCTACTTCAACTACAGTATTTATTTTAGAGTATTCAACTACAGTACAGTACAGTATTTATTTTAAGAATCTCATTTTGACGAGTTTTCTGAGGGGATTGTGGTGGGCTCTTTCTAAAATTATCTTGTCATCAACAATTTTCTCTGCGCAAGTAATATTTGTGTGTGTGTCTCAAATGGTTCTCTCCCCATGTTATATGAGGATTTTCTAAAACAAAATTCTCTCTACTAGGAGTTTATTATACTGGTTTCTTGAATTTCATTGTAGAAAGAGAGTGAGATAGTAGTATTTCGCCAGCTGTTGTGCATCTTACAGATGTTTGATAAAATACAGTTAAAATCAGAACTTCCCTAGGAGCAAAAACACAGCGTGTGGCATCTTCTTCTTATTCTCTCTTTTCGGGTCAGTGTTTTGATGCATCGAAATTAATGGTCCCGTGTTGGCGGCTGTGGGGGATTTTCCTGACTAGAGGAATAATGCGCCTTGCCATGCATATAGTGGAAGCCGATCGCTGGCAGTCGGCATCCGGTCTTGACTTTGGCCATGCTGACGACGAATGAATCCAGCAGTTGTCGGAATACTGCCCACGCAGTTGGCGGTTATTGTGATGTGGCCGACAAGGACGACAGTGTCGTGGGTGATTGCAGCCGTAGTGCTGCGCTGGGCTGCTGGACAATCCCAGTCCAGGCCCAACATAGTGTTTATCCTTGCCGACGACTTGGTAAACATCGTCTGGTTGTTTTGTTTCCTTCTTTTTCTTTTGGCTCCCTTCATTGTTTCATACATATACATATATATAGAGAGAGCAATGCAAATCTTTGCTCAAGTTGGGCTTTTATGTACACCCTTTACTTGACAGCTGATATGAATGAGTTAACCCAAAAGGCATACTTGATTCCGAGCTGCTGGTGGCCAGTTCAGCTGATTTGGTTCAGTCAAACTCATTTATTTTGTGCTGAGGCATATGCATGATGAGATTTCTATATTGCAGAGTTATTGGACCTTGTTGAACCAGGAGTTCACATTGTTGCATATTTGTTTAGTTTCTGCCTGGATTATCTTGAGAGAAAAAAATATATACACTGTAAAACTTNGAGGCATATGCATGATGAGATTTCTATATTGCAGAGTTATTGGACCTTGTTGAACCAGGAGTTCACATTGTTGCATATTTGTTTAGTTTCTGCCTGGATTATCTTGAGAGAAAAAAATATATACACTGTAAAACTTTACATTGATCTCCCGAACTCCAAGATTTCCCCCCTGAAACTTTTATGGCACTTGGGATATTACTCTGCATGGAAACTCAGGATGTGAGAAAAAATGAAATCATGATTTTTAAAAGAAATTGATTGAATGGTGAGGCTGATTTATCATTGCTTCCGAGTTCAGAATCATGTCAATCAATTTCTCCAGCAGCTTCAAGGCCAAGATCATAAATTTTCTTGTCCTATGATTCTTAATTTTTCTTCAGTAAAAATGCTGGTTTCCCAAGTTCAAAACCTCCACGAATGAATCTTTTGGTCCCTCCTAGTTTAAATTGACGCTTCAAGTTAATCAAATGAAAAAGGAACCAATCAATTTGTCGAAGTGCATCATATGACAGCTCCAAAAAGATTGGGCTTTTGGTTCAAAAAGGCTGGTGCAGCAACTTTCATGGATTTTGCAATTGGAAGAAAATCTGCTTTGGAAGAATTTTTTATTACAATTGATGAATAAATGCCTGGACTTCCTTTTGGATTACAGTACTTATGCAGTTGGTCCAGAAAAAAAAATCGAAGAGCAAATTTCCTGGATTTATCTGTAAAATTCAAACAACACAAAAAAATGATTCTAGACTCTTGTGAAATGTCAGTTTGACAGCTTTCAAATTGGTTTTCATACACGTTCACCTGTTATATGGGAAAATCCATTACTATTTTTTATTACGGCGTAATAGTGAGAAATTGGCATTCAAACTTTCATAGCTCAGAAAGCATGAATGCCGGAAAACTGGATTTTGGCTGAAACAAATGTGACTTTATGTAGATTCAATTTCTATGTTAATACTGTATTTGCATTTTGATTTTTGCATAGAAAATTACATCATTTTGGCAATTTCAAAGCATAAGTAAAAACGTTCCAGATTTGTGTGGATTACTTCATTGCTAATTTTTCCCAAAGAATAAAAGTATACATCCCCTTTAAAATTCGTCAATAAATTCAAAATTTCTGAAGCATTAGCTAATCAGAAATCGACAATTTCGAGATGATCATTCAATTGTTTCCGAAACTCGAAAATATAATAAAAATTACAGATGAACAATTTGGTTCAAAGCGGTCCACTTCATCTTTCTTGAATGAAATCAATGGAAGCTGCATACAAATTAAAATTCGCAATTCTGAACCTTTTTTGTTTTTGGATTGAAATGTTACAATATAGTATTATTCTACGGTATATAAAAATAAAAATGCATTTACATCATTCAAAAATCCATCAAGTTTAAATTTCTTCGATAATCGTTGAACTAAATTGCTTCAAATATCTGCAGTAACTATATGCTGAGGATTTAAAAAAATGATTTGGACGCAACTGAAAAATTTTAAATAGGGCCTAAAATCCGTTCTCATATTTGCTCCAGAGTTTTGAAATGTTCAAACGGGAAGATTATTTTTTCTAGTATTTCTTTGGGAAGGTTTCGCGAAGTGTTATGCAATTCAGATTATACCCTATACGAGGTATCACCCTATTCAGACGAAGCTTTCTCCTTATAAATACACTACTATTTCTATGCCGAAAATAGCGTTATTATGCCAGTCAAGATCAATGTTCCCATCGACTGATGAGGTTATTGGAGAAGCTTTGCATCTTCCGCGGATAACTGGTACAAGGCTGAAGTCTAAAGGTTTTTCTATTCAATAGGGATGGAACGACGTGGGTTTTCATGGATCAACGGCCATCAGAACGCCAAACATCGACGATTTGGCTTATTCCGGAATCATGCTCAACAACTACTACGTCAATCCGATTTGCACGCCTTCTAGAAGCTCGCTTTTGACCGGAAAATATCCTATTCACACAGGTGCTTCCTGGAGTTTGATATAATTCCTAGTGGGTTCTTTCTCGCAACAAAGTTCTGGAGCATTATTGACTGCAGCTTTCCCAAAATGTATCAAAGTAATGTAACTGACTGGAGAAAAGAAAATCCATAGGCAGCAAATTGCATGGTAGTGCCTGAAATATTGAGATTATTTGGCATTCTAAAATCAGTTGGCCTAGGTGATTTTACAGAGTACATTATTAATTTAAAAAAGGAGGTCACCTACAGACCTACACTCTAGTTTATTTAAGTATTTGCCAGCCTTTTTGGGTCCGCAGACCAGCAAAAATCCAAAACATTTTTGTTGATCAGCAACATTTTCCAAAATTTTTCCACAGACTGGCAAAATTTCATAAAACTTTTTCTACAAAGTTTCTGCTTTTTTGCAAAAATTAAGAACCAATGAAGCAGCTATAGTGGAATATCTTCAAAAAATTAGAAAGGTGGACTTGAAGAAAAGTCTCTCACAAGGAAAAAAATCAATAATTAATTTCAGCAGGTGAAAAATTTTCAAACTGTTCAGAAAATTTCCAAGCATTATAAGGAAAAGAGCCAACTTTTATTTTCTCATCAGATATTTTCAACAGCAATATATTGTCTCTCCAAAATTTCAGACAAAAATAACAGGCTGCATTGCTACTTTTGATAAATTTATTATGCTGCAGAAAATGTCCTGCGGACCAGTAAAAAATTCTGCAGACCAGTACCAGTCTCTGGAACATGGGTTGGGGAATACTGGTCTATACTATGCAAAATTTTGAAATTTTTGAAACATAAAAGCTTGATCAGAAATACTGCTGAATTTAGAACCATGGGATTCAAAAAATGAGAGAACCAAAATGCAAAGATTAAAAAGTATACCCGTACAGTATTACTGTAATTGTTTTCTTGGCAATGGACATGTTGGTTTAATGAAGATGCATTCAACAGTCACATGATGGTATAATATCTTTAGAAACTGAGCACAACATTAAATTAGTTTTGAATTGCCATTTTGGAGATAGAGATTGATTCCTTACAATGATCTTGTTGACAACAAATTTCTCTGTAAACTGCATTGTTTTTTGTTTTGGTCCAATGGGGTTCTCTCCAAATGCTGCAGGGTTTTCTACAACAAAAGTCTTCCAACAACGATTTGTTCCTGGTCCCTCGAATTTTGCAGCAAAGAACCTGCCTGCATTAAAAACTAGTCTGTGTTTTCCTTGTTAACCCTGCTTTGCCTTACTGCAACTAAATCAGGATTTTCGACACAATGTTTGTTCATATCTCAAAAATTACTTCAGGAATGGAGCACTCCGTCATCCTAGAAACTGAGCCCTGGGGACTAGGACTTGATGAAATACTGCTTCCGGAGTACTTAGCTCCTCTGGGCTACACACGTCACATCGTGGGCAAATGGCACCTGGGGTTTTTTCAGAAAGAATACACGCCCACGTACCGCGGATTCCAGACCCACTTTGGCTACTGGTCTGGGAAGCACGACTACTGGTCACATTTCTCTGAAAAATACATCGTGAGTCCCACAAATCTCATTTCACACTGCTCATCATTTACTTCCTCGCGAAAATAGGATTTAGATGATGTTGACATCATCTGAACTGAATGAAACCTGAATGGCAAAAATTCATCTGACCAATTTATACAGTACTGTGCTTCACAAAATCACAACTGAGATGATGGGAGTATCTTGAATAACATATTCTTCAGTACAAAATTGATTCATACACCCATATACCTTTAATCATGCACGTTTACATTGCAGTCAAACAATTTTTTTATGACTGGTCTTGACATGCGGCTGAACATGGAACCAGCTCACAACACAACCGGTCGTTATACCACTGATCTCCTGACAGAAGCAGCTACTTTGATCATTCACCATCACAAGGTGGACGAATCCCCGTTGTTCTTGTACTTGTCGCACTTGGCTGTTCATTCAGCTAACAAGGAGCAACCCCTGCAAGCTCCCAAAGAAGTAGTGGACCAATTTTCTCACATAAAGGATNGCAAAATGCTTCTGATTAAATGAAACACAGACTCAAAGAAGACATGATCAACTTTTTTGGACCATTAGCTAGGTAAAATTTACGCCTCCCAAGGTAATTTTGATTGTTTTCGAGAAGAATAAGAATTTTATTTCGTATCATGCCTAATTTTCACATCATTAACGCTTTCTTGATAAACCATAAACCCCTTCCAACCGCCAACCCCATTAAACCACCACAAACAAATGATAGGCAGCTTACTGATGTTTGACTGTAAAAAAAAATTCCTTGTCTGAAACTGGCATATTACCAAACTTATGAGCTTCTGAACAGGAACGAGCCGATCAAGAGAACCCCATTGTTATGATGCTTGGTTATGAATATTGCTCTTCTCATCTGCACTCCAATCTTCCGGGGGATAAAATACCGTATTATTCTTACAAAATCAATACATTGGTCTGTTTTACACGCAACATTCTATAATGCATCAGGTACAACGTACGATGGATGGTGGGATGGGTGGTATGGACCAGCAGAACAAGGAACATCTCGAGACACAAGTGCAGTCGAAAACGAAATCCTCATCAACAACGTATGGATATCCAAATCCAAGACCAATGAAGTCAGAGATGCTGCGGCAGACGGGTTGCCAAGAATCACCTCTCAGGTGGAAGAAGCCCTACAGGGAGCTGGCTTATGGAGCTACAGCTACAGCGACTCAATCCCCTTTAAAATAGATTGCGGACAAAAAGTGCTTCCACGCATGGGGACTCCTTGCAATCCCTTGCATGGACGCCCGTGCCTGTTCCACGTTAAAGAAGATCCGTGCGAATACCACAATTTGGCGGATTTTTATCCTGACATTTTGGATAGTTTGTGGAAACGAATGATGACGATTGCAGCCACGGCAGTTCCGGCAAGGAACCAGCCGCATGATCCCGAAGCAAACCCGGCAAAGCATTGTTATTTATGGTCCACGTGGCAATCTCAAGAGGTAGCTTTTTCATGACCACTGAACAGTGACGCAATATTTCCTTGCTGAAGCTACCGCAGAATTTTTTTCATGCGCCGCGGCTGCAATCATAGCAGTCAATGACATACTACTAACTTTAGTAGACGCCATCTTAAGCCGCATTTACCGCATGAACTGGACAAGTTTAGAGAAAACTTTGACAGCTAGCTCAACCCCATATCTTTTTTTAACTACAGTACACGTAAGTTGACATACATGTATGCAAAAGCAGGTTGGGGGAAGCTTCAACAAGGAAGAATCATCCGAGAGTAGGATTCAAAGTATAGTGGTTCTGTTTTGACAAACAGGTGACAACCGAGAAAAACTCACGAGATGAAGTCACAAACGTCCAATGCCCAAAGTGCCAACGGATGTCACTCGCATCTTATGGATTCAGGCCACATCACAATACCACAATTCAGCAAAAAGTACCTCGGGATTAATGTCACAAATTTGCTTTAACAAGATTTCTGCACAGAAGGAATCTACACAAATTGCTATGGATGATATTCTTTCAACATTCCTGGATATTGCAGCCACAGAACATTTTAAAAGATGTACTGTTCAACAGTTGCATGGAAATCCTGTCAATCCACAGCAAATCCTGAGAAGATTAAGCAACTTATTCCAGTGGAAAAATACAATGGATACTGCTATGGAAACTACAATAATCAAAAGGAGTTCATTTCATATGTGATATGTGCATTTTGACACTTTGCTGATCCGTTATTGTGAGTTGCTAATCTTTAGCTTGCATCATAAATGCAGTCATACGCACAAGATATTGCAGCCAATTTACGGTAATTCAAGTTTGTTTCAAAAATCAGCTCACTATATCCTTCAGAAATCAGAAAAAAAAAAGGCCTTGACTTCATGAATCATTTGAATTTCAAGAGGTTTCACAAATCCTTGATCAAATCACACTAGTTTGTTCAATGATGGAAGAAGCAAAAAGTAACCCTAAAAATTGTATTTTAAAATCTAACAAGGGGAACAAATTCTGCCTGTTCAATACGGTTACATCAAAGCAGCCACATCTAATCCAGTCAGCAGCAAACTAAATTAATGCAACTAGAATGCAAGAAGCCATATCTCCAGTATTTTAAAATCTAACAAGGGGAACAAATTCTGCCTGTTCAATACGGTTACATCAAAGAAGCCACATCTAATCCAGTCAGCAGCAAACTAAATTAATGCGACTAGAATGCAAGAAGCCATATCTCCAGAATAAAAAAGATGCAGTCATTCTTGATTCAACACATTTGTTGAGTCAAGAATTGTTGAATCACACTCATTTAGAGCAACTAACTTCAGTCGAACAAGTCTTCCCTATTATTTCAAAACATTACTGTACATAGAATATCTTCATTTTAGAGTGAGCTTTGCGAAGTGCCAAGAAATTGAGTTGAACGGATGATGGCACACAACCAAGGTTTGTTTGTACTGCTGTTTACAAATCTGTGCTCTTTTTTGGACATCTACGCACATAAATGCTGATCTTCACAAAACAGCGACCAAAAATTCAACGCTGTGATTTGGCCCAGGTCCATGTAAACCCATGGTTTGTAAAAAATGAACTGTACATCTCTACATTGATCTGTTCCGTCACATACATTTCCCGTTATTGCCAATAAGTCACAATCGATAATGATGAACCTTTGTTTCACTTTCGGAGAATTAAATAATATCACTCTTCCCCATGAGGTACACTCGAGTTGCACGAAGAAACTTTCTTCTTGACCATAGTCCGCCGATACAGGGTAATGGCACAAGGATTGACTTGTCATGGAAATCCATACATGCTGTGATATGATATGCCATGTTTGATAGCACCACGACGTATTCAGCAGCACAAAACCACGTGTACACTGAAAAAGGAACAAACACGTCAGAATATCCCTCAGACTCCATTGTCCTGTATTCAAAAAATACTACAAGCGATAACTGCATTAAGAGAAATAACTAAATCGGTCAACAGCGAACTGAATAAATCGCGACTAGAATGTAAGAAGCAAAATAATATAATCAAGCATTATTCGCTCACTGAGTGGTTCACAGAAGGTGTTGTGTCTGTTGTAGTAATAGCAGCACAAAATACAGGCGGTCAGGTTTAAAATTGCTAAGCGCTTTTTCCATGCCAAAGCGGCTCTCTCTTTTCCATACGGTCTAAATCGTCTCGCCTTCACATTCAGGAACAGAGAGGTCATCATATAAAGCTCCGAACTCATTAGAAATGTGCAGAAGAAGTTTCGATGGACGACTGCGAACACACAAAGCAAAACGCGTTGAAAATGCAAGAGCGATCCTCAAGGGATGACCAACATCTACGAAATGCTTTTCTTTTAATTCTTCGGAAACTGCGAACAACTCACTTCCATCGGAAGTACATGAAAGGCTTATTATATAGACGAGTTAACTGGAAAGCTTACAGACAACAATCAAGTAGGAAAGAACTGTATCACAAACGAAGCACTCATTACCAATTGTATCATGGGATCAAATTCATTCCTGGCTCGAAATTTCTGTTTTGCTTTCTTAAGAGATCAGAAGTCGATTCCACAATCGAGGTACACAAATTGATCGTAAGTAGTTTTCTTCTCATCACTTTTCGTTCTGGTGCTTCCCTACTTTTCACGAATACGGAAGAACGAATCGTTCGCAATGCAATCCGTTCCAATATTCTCGGAACAGCAGGCCAAAAAGAAGTGCACGAATGGAAGCGAGAAACTCACTAAATGAAAGAGCTGAGTTGAAGAAGGAGAGGCCGACGAGTGAAACATTTTCAACGATGTGCAGAATGCAAGCTAGTTTGGACAATGGCGCGTACGCGGAATGAAGAACCTTGGAATACCATCGCCAGTAATAGCTCAGGGCTAACAGGCGTCCAGGAAAATGAGCCGCTATGGCTAAAACAACGAGAAATGCATGGTGTACATTAGATATGAATATGGCAGGATAAATCAGTTGATTTTCTTCGAGTGCGTCGCTTTCCGGAGTTCGACACACAGCGTTGCAAATGAAATTCAGAAGGCCACACAAGAGGAATTCAAAAGGAATCCAACAAAAACCGAGTTTCAGTCACAAAGCAGCATTTACCTGATTTCCAGACGATATTTTGCGGAGAGTAAGTCCCGATGGCAGCTGAGATCGAAGGCAGGTAATTCGGAACGCGGCAATGTGTATAAGTCACATCGCGAAAATGAAACCACAAAGACCACGCGACACAAAATACGAAGGCACTCAAGGGCAAGAGTACCGTTGCGAGGAAGAACTTGGAAACCGACAAACGCACGCGTAGAAGTTGGATACACCGGAAGCCTGATGAATTGTACGAAGGTACAGCTATTCTTGAGAGGCTCGCGTCCAGTGAATACGACGAAGCAACGCTGGCATCGAGACGATCGTACTTCATGGGTACATGTCGCATCTTCTGGCGGTGCCTCCTGAAAAATAAAATTAATAATAAAAATAGACGTCATTGTCACCAGAAATGTGAGGATCTTGAGTAATATCACCGGCGATCGCAAATTTGCATTACACAGGGATCCCTGGTACTTCAAAAGAAACGTCACAGAACGGCGAAGAAATCGCTTGTATGCCGGAATGCCGAATGAATCACGAATTCTACAAATCTACTTCGTTCACGGTTACTATTCAAACTTGGGAGCTATCCTCGTTGGAGCGAGCCAAGCTCGAAACAAAATTCTAGCCCGACAATGTTGAAGCCATATCCATGCTTGCGAAAAACTTCACATGAACAGCTCCGCGCATCCACTGTTCCGCAAACGTAGAAACGTAACATATGATTACGAAAAGCGCCCTGACCTCCGCGACTTCGGTAACCAGCCGATGAGCTTCTTGTAGATCTTATAGAACACCAGAGCAATGAGGAATCCATCTTCGATCACTTTGAGATTAATGGCTAATAATATTAAGCAAAATTTTAAAAATTCTGTAAATGTAATTCTGACACAAGCATGGCAATACAGAGGACTCCAAGAAGCCCTTCCTCATCGGTCAGGCCTCACCTTCTCTGGTGTTACGCCCAGTGAAGGTGGGTCGTCGCAGGCCATACGCGCCCAAGCTGGATGGGTCGCATACGGAATGGCGTATATCTGAAAGAAATATATATAGATGACGCTCAAAATCCTGAGCATATCCCTCCTAGGTCCTAGCTGGTGCTAAAAAAATGTCCCCGAAAACCCAAAACTAAATCACAATCTGCTGTCCATAAACCTTTGCACAAGCGTAACGCGGATCATTGCTGGATACTCGCTCCCTCGTAAATTTTCGGTCTTGTTCACGATTTATTTAATCTCGATTTTGCAGCGGGTGTGAATTTATTATAATTGGCTAATCTTGAGTTACATTTTAAATGTATATATGAACACGCAGGCCAGTATAGTTCTTGTACACTTCTCAATGAATGATAATTTAAGCACGAGAATCAGAGTTCCAGTACGTACTGCACATTGGAATTTCTTCTCAGAGTTTATTTGGACTCATTCCTTATGTTGCGAAAAAAGCTCTTACAAAAGCGCACAATACGATGTCCGTCAATTAGATAAGGACATTACGCTTACTTTGTTTCAGTATCGCGAAAATAGGAACTCCAATTCTGCTCGCAATTTATTTCGGGCCGACCACACGTAACATGGAGTCGAAACTCGCATGGGCAGCTCACCTACGGTTTATATGCCGAACCAGAAGAATTGCTATGCTGGTTGATGAGACCCGAAACGTCCCGTCCTTTCCTGTACTACTGTACAAGAGCACCGTGACCCGGATGGAGAATCCCGCTCGCGGTGGAGCTGGGATAAGATCCCTTCGTGAATCATGCAAGAACCCCCGGAGCTAAGACAGATTAGTACGAGCATCGATTTTCCCCGGCTGGGCAGTGCCCGGAAATCGCGGAATTCTTCAGTAGAGGTGCAAGCCTTCTCCGCAAATGAATCTCCCGATCCGATGCATATACTGTACAGTATATATATATCCTCGAAAAATCATGCGGGATCCACCCACGCCAATTTTTTATCCGTTTCCGACGGGGGCAAAGTAATTCTAACCGTCGTAAAGCTCTTGATTCGTCAGCGCGAGGCGAGTGTCTATATCCCATCCAGCATGAAGATATAAATGATGATGAGCAGTAAAAAAATAGAGAAAAGTGAGGATGAAATTTCCCAGTTTCTGCTGTGAGCGCGCGGGTCTCATTACATAATTTGCTCTGCGAATAACCCATACAGGGATTGAATAATCCATCAAATAATGAATGTTCAATTAATAAAATCGAAGAAACTCATGCGTCAGAATGGACAATAAGGATCAAGGGAAAAAGAATGGCCTTCGTTCCACGGCACTGGGAGATTGTTACAAAGATTTGAGACGATGCAATCTTCGTCCAATAAATCCAATCTCTCTGGCTTTGATCTAACCCTACAATAATTCATCGGTCTGGTGGCTGAAGCTGGTATATTTTTACAGAGGATAATCTCTGTATGGAAACTAAATAGAAAGAACCTCACCATCAGTATAAAACAACATGAAGGGCAGTCCAAAAAGTCTTTTTTTCGAATGTTCAAATTAGAATTTTCAGTAGCTCAGTATACATATAAAAATTGTAGTATCCGTGTATCTCCGAAACATTTCACCGCCCAAATAATTTTTCCAAACGAAACTTGAAAAATTCTAGACGAATGAAAGATTTGTGTTCGTCAATTTTAGTTCAAAAATCCCAAGATTTCTCGTCGTGCATCATCATACTATGCATACATCCAAGTTATTGCGAGATTAAGTACTGTATACATTCATTGCGAATAAACCCCAGCAAATATTCACTTCTCTATTCTTTAATTTGTTAAAAAAACCTTTCATTCAGAAACTTTTTCAATGCAGATTTTCTTGGCAAATACTTTTACCTCATCTATAAATTGCTGAATGAATATAAATTATCCGAGTATGATCTATGGCTTCTACAGTACTCTGCGGTCTTCCAGAATTCGAGCAATTACATCGTATGAAGCGAAGAAGACATTAAACGTCTTGGATAAGCTGTATTCTGTCATTTGAATAAAGGAAGAACTATGCAAAACGTTTAGGCAATCCTTGCTCGATCGTGAACGCATAGCAACAATCATGCCATTCATTTAGACTTCAGAGGATATGGAATCCGTTTTAATATTTTACAGAAAATTCTTGCCAGAAAATGAGGCCCTTATATTATGCATCAAAACATTTTTTTTTATCTCGACCACTTATTAAAAGTGGTAGTCTTATTTCCCTGAAGTCATTTGTAAAAAAAAAATCGGATATACTGTATATAATCGTTCACTGCGGATTCCTTTCTTATTCTTTAATCAGCATTTATAGAAAGCAGTTTATTTGATAAGAACTGAACCGAAGTGATTAGTATCACGGAAATCTGAGGAACATGCGAAGACAAATTCCTCGACGCGACTTGGGTTTCGCGCCATTGGACGACGATGACGGCCAACGACGTCGGTTGGAAAGGACGAGCGATCGCGTCGTCTTGCTCGACACCGACGCCTCCAGGGAGACTCGCGTTATCGCGTCGTCACCACCGACCCCGTCGAGGCTCCTCATCCCAGTGCCACGGTTTTGCGATCCTTTCGCGAAATAATGATTCCTATGGTGCCCCTCAAGCAGAGTCAGCACTGCTGCTCAAACCTGAAACTGTGCATTCCGGCTGATAAGACTCTGGTCCTGAGATTCTGATACGAATGGTCCTTTATATACGAGTATACGGCACTTTGCGCATGAATTCGGAAAGGAAGACAGGAAATATGAATAATTTCCTCGGGAATCGTGGAAAGTGTTCGGAAAGGTTTTTAAAATTTTGATGTGTGTCAGTCGTGGATTGAGCTGAAGGTTTTCTGGGTGATTTTTCAAAGCACTGTTGATGGATCTTTTTCGTCCAATTCACTATATACTGCACTTCGAAACATACCTGCAGGCGATTGGCGGATTTGGTGAGATGCGGCGATGTTTTTCCTCCTAATAAACCCTCTTAAAATAAAGAGTTTTTTTCATATATCATCGATTAAATTTTAAAGTGCATCGGGAATTTGCTATCGTCTTAGTCTGCCCACTCATATAGAGGAGGAAAAGCACAGACGATATACCGCGAGTAATCTTATTTGATTTCATATTTTTTTCATGGAGATCCGCGCACAAAAGTTCCTAACTTTGAAATTTGAACTTGAACGGAAAAAAATGTCCCACAGAAGGAAATTTCAGAAATTTTGATGAATATCAACAACTGGAATTTCAAACTCGAAAGAAAAAACTGTCAGAGTATATACTGTTCAGTTAAATTGTTGAAGATGAATTAATTCAAAGAAAACGACCGTTATGGTCTTTTATTTCG